CGAGGTGCTGATTTGTCTAACTTTGTTTTTCCCGCTGCTACATACTCCAGAGAAAGAACTGAATTTCAACAGAATTTTAATAAAACGGATGAATTTAAAATGAAAGTAGTGTCTGATACGATGGCCGTCGTAGAGCGCCTAGAAAAAAGAGGATTTGAATTAAAACAAAGCGATGCCTTGGAAATCATAAAAATATTTGTAAAGCACCAATTGTTCCAGCGGTCAATGCCAGCTTTTTGGTCAGTTGACGATGAGGTTTACAAATGCGAGGAAGTAACGAGAAAATGTATCTTCCGATGGACGCTAGAATTTTTCTTATCGCTGACAAGCTATCAGCTGCCGATTCTGTGCTGTGAGAAAATATTAGCCTTCCTGAAGTGTAAGGATTTTTTGCAAATTTGTCTGGCGGCAGAAGTTCTCATAAACGATCAGAGGCAAAACATGTGATAGCGCTCGAGAAGCTAGTTTCATTTTTTTAGATTCCCTCTAATCATGGTTTTTATACTGCGTTTTTTTCATTCCGGCGAGGACGTCGACGAATTTTAGCTGTTACTTCTTTATCAGAAATGTTAAAATATTGTAGTCAGTAGACCCGATTATCATTGCGTATTTAAATAAAAATTTTATTACAAATCAAGCAAACTTTCTTTTCTTTTAAGATCAATAAATAAAAATAAAATTTACGATATGAACTGAACATTATAAAAGAAGCACTGAGGTAACTGGTTGAATCTCGAAAATTTTATTAAAAAAGCTAAACCCGCTCGACAAAGTTAAAAAATCGCAATAGATTGGAGAAAACGTTTCATTGACGAAAATAATAAAATACAACAAAAGGAGTTTAAATAATTGATCGATCTGTAAGAGGTAGCTCACTTTCTGCTACTCATTAAATTGATAAGTAGATTTATTTTCTATCAAATTCGTCATATCACGGGTCATTAGTTTATATACAAATTGTATTTTGGTAAATTTGCGCGAATTATATAGTGCATCATATGACTCGCACGGTGAGAAATCAAAAATGTAAATAAAATGCTCTCATAAATAGCAATACTTGACGTCTCGTCATTGCTCGGACGCCGGCGTGATTCGATATTCGCATCTCGAGAATCTACTGGCGAGTGTAAGAATAACGTACATGTTGGCAGTGCCGTGCCTTGTACAATTCAAGTAAACTGTCGTCTGTCGAGTCATTTCATTTCAAGTCGTCACTTGTTCATCTGCAGTCTGCTGTTCTGTTTCGCGCGGGTTGCTCGTCCGCTCAAACGAACTTACACATTACAGCTCGCACTGTATTCAGTGTACCGTTACGACGCCGCAGCGTAAAGCAGAAGTAGATCGCATCGACTGTAGCAAGCGATCCTCGCGAAAAAAAGTTATACATTTTTATTGCATCGTGTGTCGTAATTGTGATTGTGCTGAACCATGGCCGAGGACGGCCAAGATTGTTTAAAAAAACTGAAAGAACTACGAGAAGAGGTTAATTGGGACATCGAAAAAGAGCGACACAAATTCTTCGATCGATTTCATCAATTAGCCAGTGATTGGCACGGCCAACTACCTAACCTCCGGGACGTACTTTCCGCCGAAGAAATCGAGTGTCTTCTCATGGAGTCCTGCGTTTATTACACCGGTGGCGGCGAGGCTGGCAGTTACGCCGACATCTCCGACGACAGATACGAGGAAGTCGTCGAATTCGTGGCTGGCAGCGGCTACAAGGACGAGCTGCCCAAAGTCGTCGAGGGCAGGCCTCCGCTGCTTCGCACCACGGCGATACATCGCGCGGGCAAATTTTATCATTACGCGGTTCGCGAGCTCTTCGAGATCTACGACAGGTACGACCTGAACTACAGCGACGAGACCGGCGTGACGCACTTTCACGTCGCCTGCCTCGACGAGCGCTGCGTCGACGTCGTGAAGAGATTCCTCGAGCACGGCCAGGATCCCGATTGTCAACCCCGAGAAGAATGGCAGAAGGACTTGGCGGCGGCGGCGGTCGGCGTCGAGTCGCCGCTCCACTCGGCTCTGAATCGTTGCAACTTTCTCGTGTCCGAGGCGCTGCTGCGAGGCGGCGCCGATCCGAATTTAGCCAGTTCGCGGGACGGCTCGACGCCTCTGCACGTCGTCTGCTCGAGCTGGAACGTCGAACTGGCCGAGATGTTCTTCCGTGTCTGCAACGAGCTGGGCCGAACGTTGAGCGTCGACGCACCGGACGCCGCGGGTTGGGCGCCGCTGCATCTGGCGCTGCTGCTCGGCTTCAAGGAGGCGGCCGAGCTGCTGCTGAGAAACGACGCCGACCCGAATCTGGCCGACGCCGAGGGATCGACTCCTCTGCATCACGTGTGCAAGAAGGACGAGGATATCTGGCGAGACGACGCCGCCTTCGCGCGGATGCTGTTCGAGATCAGCGACGAGACAGGTCGGCCGTTGCGGCTGGACGCCCGGGACGGCAAGGGCCGTACGGCGCTGCAGCTGGCCGTGGCGACTTTTCTGCCGAACGTGGTCGATCTGCTGCTGGATCGTGGCGCCGATCTCGCCAGCTTCGTTTTCCCCACGGAGAGTCAGCTGGACCGGGGATTTCGAGAGTACGAGTGCAAACTGGATCGCTGCCGATTGCGAGTGATATCGGCCGCACTGGCCATCGTGGAGAATCTCGAGAGGAGAGGCTACGAGCTGGATCGCCGGGACGCCCTGACGATCGCGACGTTCTTCGCCAAGCACGAGCTGTTCGAAAAGCCGCGGGATTTTCAATCTCCGTCGGACGAGGAGGAATCCAAGGCGAAAAAATTGTGGATCAAACCGGGTCTGACGCTGCACGACCTGATGCGGCTGCGGCCCGAGGAGGAGGCCCGACGCGTCTCCTACATGGACTACTACGAGTTCGCGCGCGACACCGAGTACTTTCTGCAGCTGAGCGAGACCTGCGCCGCGCGCCTCGGCGACGTGATGGCGCGAGGATTTTTCCGACGCTGGGCGCTGAATTACTTCATGGAGCTGACGGCCGCCCGTCGACTGCCGATTCTCTGCTGCGAGATGATCGTCGAGAGGCTGATGAACGAGGATCTGTGTCGCGTTTGCTTGGCGGCGCTGCAGAGCTAGACTCGCGACGATGAGAAGATTCACGGAATTTTTTAATGTGCGACGTTAGTGATGATCCATATTATTCGAATAAATAAGTTTTAAAAAATTGAATTTATTGACTTGGCTTTTAATTTATTTTTTGTGTCGTCATTTTATTAATTTTTTTATTTACAAATTACAAAAAAGTAGTTACAGATTTTGCCGCTATTTTTAAAAGTCTTCAAGTACCCAAGGATTTAGTCAGCAATCTCGTAAATGTTATGCTAAGAATTACGACTATATTTATTTTCATTCGTATGTGCGATCGTTGTTAGATTAGTTCAGAATTTTTAGTGGAACGAATTAAAAAAGTCAAACTACGCGCGAGACACTAAAAGACGCGTATAACACGTGCTCAAACGCGATATAAACAAACCAGTTGATCGTAATTATGTGAGTCAATTATCCGAGGTAAACTGTATTTTGATTCGCGATAGTTACCGCTACGAGGCTTTACTGTATACCAAAGCTACATTCGCGCAAGAGAAAAGTCCTTCTTGTATTATTATAATCCTCTCATTACTAACTTCTTTTGAAATTGAAATTGAGAAAATTTCCGACTAAAAAATTCATTTTGTATCGTGACGAGATTTATCGATTGAAAACTTTTCGAATTCATCAACAGATGAAGTATTGTAAAGTCGCAAGCGACAAAAAATTGTCCAGTTGGTATATATTGCAATTTGCAACATGTTTTTCGACGAGTTGAATGTCGTTCGTTGATCAACGCGGTTACGTGGACGCAAAATGAGCAGATTTCTGGAGGACGAATCACACATAACTTACGAGACAGACCGTGTGCAATATTACACAGTACGATATCCACGATGATCGAGTCGCTTCTCTTGTGACCCTATTTACATCAAATTGCGGCCACGTTCAGCCGTTCGCCACGAGATCATTTTGATACTGGCAAAGTCGAGCCTCGAATCTGAAATTACTCGCGAATGTGCCGCGCGCCCACCTGACCATCAATGAAAAGTGAGAATTCGACATCTGTACCTTTGAACGAAGCCGATGTCTGTCTCTGTCCCTCTCTCGGCATCATTCAAGTGCCACCGCATGATATATTATACGGTAAAATTGGATCGGTTATGCGATTGGACCTGCACGCTACATAATCTATGTGAACATCGACGAAAGACCGCAAATCAGTCGCACGCGACGAGCATACGCGATATCGTATCGAAAGGAGCCACCGCAGCTCCAACAGACTATAAGTCCGTAAGCCAGCTAAAATTCCATGCGTTAATCGAAAGAAAGTCCGCAGAGCGCGTACTCGGAGACGAAATTGCGTCGCAATTCTTCTTTATACGCGCGAAAGAAAGAAAAAACGACAACGAGCCGACGTCGCGCGTGTAATTGCAATTCCTTAATTCGGTGTCTCCTTGGATTCGTATATATGAAATATATACGCAGCGCGCGCGCTCAAGTCGCAGAGAGCTGGCTAGTACCTTATTTTTGCCAATGAGATAATTGAGAAAAGCGCGTGTATACGACACTCAAAGGAAAATTACTTTTTTCTGCCGTCGAGGTCGCGTGTTATACAGCATAGTGGACTACTCGGCGATTCCGACGACTTATATATTATGCGCGCCCGAGAAGCATTCGTTTGCAAGCTCGCGAGCTTTTTTCCTTACTTTTGACTCGTTGTGCTTCCGAATACGTTTGTGCGTGTGTCTCGGAAGGGGGGGGGGTGTTTTACTTTTTTAAAAGAGCGACGAGCTAAATAGCGAAAGCAGTTCCGAAGCGACTCGGTTTCCGTGTAGGCGGTAAGTGCAGAGTCGCCAAACAAAGCTTACATTATGAAAGCGACTAACGGATCTGTAAAATTGACATCGACTTGAAGGGTTCAAGATTTTATATTAGTCTACAAATGATTATGTGCTTTATTTTTCTCAAAAGATGTTTTAACTTTTACAAAACTCAAACATTATATTTACATATATTGAGATAAAGTTAGAGTAACTCGTTACATTACAATAAAGAACATTTTTAGCTCAGTCTTCTGAAAAAGTAAATTAGATAATTTTACATATTAATTTAATCTTAATGCATAAGCGATGCATCGTATCTATGCAAGGCTCCATGATAACCTTGTCGCCTATTAATATCTTAATTCATGTATCACCTGTACCAATATGCGCCGATCTAACGTGACAAGAGAGATTATTTTTGAATGAAAATACTTTTCCGCAAACATCACATTGATGGGTAATACCGTTATGTACCGCCTGTATGTGGACTCTCAGATTACTCTTTTGTCCGAATTTTTTTCCACACGTATTACATGCATGTGTAATTTTATTGTGCACCACATCGATGTGTCTTTTAAGATAATTATTTGATAAATATTTTTTGTCGCATATATCACATGCATGAGTGATACCATTGTGAACCGCCTCGATATGGATTTTAAGAGAAGCTTTCCATTTAAATGTCTTTCCACAAATATCACATTCATTTTTGACACCATTGTGCACTGAACTGATGTGTTTCTTGAGATCGTTCTTCTGTGAGTACTTCTTTCCGCATACGTCGCATGCATGTGTGATTTTATTATGTATAACATCGATGTGGCTTTTGAGACGATGTTTATGCGTAAATGACTTTCCACATGTTTCACAAGTGTGGTTGATACCCTTATGCACTCCATCCATATGCCTTTTGAGAGTACGCTTGTGTTGGAATATTTTTCCGCAAACGTCGCATGATTGAGAGACACCCTTGTGAATCGCGTCAATGTGCATTTTGAGATAAATTTTCCGTGTAAACGTCTTGCCGCAAATATCACATTCATGGGTTATTTTATGATGTACCGAATCGATGTGACTTTTGAGATTACACTTTAGTGTGAATGTCTTCGGGCACATATCACATGCATGGGTTATTTTATGATGCACCGAATCGATGTGAGTTTTAAGATGACTCTTATTTGCGAATTTTTTCTTACAAATATCACATGTAAAAGTTATTTTATTATTCACCGTACTCAATTGGGTTTTTAGTCCATCATCATGGTTAGACTTTTTTGTAATTCTTCTTTTTTCATTTTGCAAGCCTGACTCACGATCAAAATTAAAATTTGATTCTTCTGTATCAAAAATTTCTTTCTTTACTTCTCGTACTGTTTCTGTTTTGATTATGTTTTGCACTTCATAATCATTGCTATTTATTATACTTTCCGAGTAATTCGGAAAATCATCGTCAAATTTTTTAACCGCCAATAAATTGATGCTCGGCTTTGCGTCTTTACACTCAAAAACTATTTCCATACTTTCACTGGGTTCACATTCGTAATTGTCACGACATTCTTGAGATATGTAAGCCTAGAATAAAACATTAGAAATATGAAAATTTTCGTTAGAAATGACAATTAAAATATTCGTGTATAACTATCAAAACTTACGGGATTTTCTCGCAGAGACCTCAAGTTCAGAAAATGTTTGGTATCGGCTGGGTTGTCAATTACTGAATCAATGTCTTCAGTGAAGGATACATCAAGAGGTTCCTCTTTTACTCTGAAAAAATTCGAATGAGTTTGAGTGTTATGATACAATATTTTAATACTTTTATTCCTACGTCAAAAATTACCTAGCGGCACAGTTGAACATGGCACTCGATTCCATCTTACACGGTTCAAATTTAGTGTACAATTAAACACAGTGTGGTAATGATGTTACACATCGAGCAAACTAGCTTAAATTCTATCTAACAATATTTACATATAGTGTTATGAAAGTCGACACAATAAATCGAAACGAGTCAAAACCCAAATCATCTTAATACAACACTGAAGAAATTACCTTACGTATTTCACGCCTAATCAATACTATATAATATATCAATCATAAATGATGACGAATAAATAGAAAATAAATAAAATGAAAATGATTCCTCGTTGAGAACGAGCTAGTTTTATACATTTTTGATAATCCCTTATAAGCTCGCATTCCGTTAAGTGCTCAATTAAGAAGTTGGCCGTAGTGCTGCTGCTTTTATATATAATACATATTAAGCTTTCGTCCCTATATACATACTATAACGCTATGCTACCCCAGCCCAGCGGCAGCAGCAGCAGCAGCGCGACGATTTTAATGCGCCTTTTGACGTCAGCAGATGGGAGCTTTTCACGCGTCGAGCTCGACGTAGCACGAGCTTGTTCTTTCTATATAAAACAGCAGCAACAACAACAATAACTGCGTTCGCGCGCGCGACAAAGGCGCAACAATGTCCGCCGCCGCCGCGCGACGTACGCACGGACGGAAAATAAAATAACGACAATAATAATACGTTCTGTAGCGCGTCGCGCTGTATATATACGATTTTAGCTCCTTCTTTTACGACGCAGTCATTACGTTGCCGTGTATATACGCGCGTTGCACACGCCGTAATTCCGCGTTTTCTTCGGGGGGGCGAACACATAATATATCGACGCGCTCGCGAGAGCTCGTGTAAGCTCGTAACGACCTGTGCTTGTTGTATAGGCCGCTGGTGCCGCTGCTGCTGTTGCATATTATACGCGCGATACACGCATAAACGGATGGCGCCGAGCCCCGAGAGCCATATACGCTATATATATTCAAGAGCTTGTATACGTGTCCGTTGGGAATCCCCGGCCTGCAGTCGCGCGGTTGTATACACACGCATATACATGCATACAGGCACACATCTTTCTCGCGTTATTATATAAACGCACATCCTCGCGTGCGTAAACTCACCGCGTTGCGAATACACATCATGCGTCATTCGATTATACACCTTTTATATTAAAATACGTATAAGTGCAGCACGTGCTCGTGGAAAAAAAAGATGACTTTCATGGATTCGAATCGTACACATATATACTTTTTCTCTCACAATGAGCATTGCGTGTGTGTGATCATTATTGTATATGCAGTATACGACGTCGCAAATGCGCGCAGGGGCTTACATCTCGCTACTGGCCTTTGACAAAAGCTAATCTAGCTTGCATATTACATGTGCGTTTGTATAAGCTCCGTATTGCGAACTTATCAGTCGATATACAGAATGGAAAGCTGGACGAGACCCGTGCCTGTAGCCGCGCGGCGGCGACGACGACGACGACGACGACGACGTATTACTACACACGTGTGCGCCCTTACGCGATAGATTATTCATCGAGGTCGCGAGTTGCTGCAGGAACGGGTCTCGTCGACATTTTCATCGCGCGTATATATATGGTACAGGCGAACGCGTAAATGCGACAATCGGCGTGTGGGCCAATGTAATATTCATCGAGTTGACTTTTTTAACGTTTACCTTTTTTTCGTCAATTCGATGGTATATATTGTACGAGATCCAGTTTCAATACACCGTCTGTCTTTCCGCAATAAGACTCTTTCGCGCACAAGTGTTGCGTCTTCTAGGACGAGTGAATTAAATAACGAAGAACTAAAAGCATGCGTTGACCACTCTATACTCCCTTTCGTTTTACGCTCCAATCGGTATTTAACAGCGGAATATCCCTCGTAAAGCAACATTGACAATGGTCTGTGATGGCCAACAATTACTATTTAAAATGTTTCAAATTACCAGCAATTGGCTTATGTTTATTTTTCTGTTACTATTACGCAAACAGTTTGATTACGATGATATTACTTTGAACTGCCGGCACTAGATGGCGAGTACTCTCATCTGTAAATGTGCAAGTGGAAAACCAGTGGCATTGAGATAACATAAATTGTACCAACGTGGTTATCAGCTTCTCTAATTTGATTTGGCACGTTTAGAACTATTTCAAAACTTGTAACGGGGAATGCCTTGCAGAAGAGCCGGCTAGCTATTTGGTCGCAAACCCGCGTTGCACAATAAAACTCGTCGATGCCTTGCTTCGGCGTCGTATGTACCTGCTGTACGACGAGCCGCGCGAGCTATTTTTAAATTCAAATCCGCGCGAATTATAATTCCGCGTTGCAAACTAAACTCAAAGCAGACCTATTTGTCCGCGTCGAGTTCGTTGTCTATTGTCACGCATCTCGAAAGAAGTATGAGTATCGGCTATCGTTGTGTACTTGCGAAATCGTGCGGTGCAGCACGTTATGGCCACGATCGGCTATAGGAGCTCAATTTTGACGCTGCTTTAGAACAAAGCTCAGTTTCGTACGCCCTCAGAACATGTTTTAGGCAATTTAGATCAGCGCGCAGCAATTTCAAGCACTTTGAGTACGGCAATACACCACGAGATGGCGAGTACCTTTGAATCTGTGAAATCTGCAAGTAGTAAAGCTATAATAGTTGCCTAAGTCAAAGTACGATTTAATGTTTTTTCGTCTAACACGATCGTCGTCCACTTTGTCTACTTTCATCTAAGTAACTTTTTTGTTGGCCAAAAATCAGCCACAGAGTATCGATCATTTCTACCAGGGATGCGGCACGATGAAGATACGTAGTTGTTAAACTGAATTTTCACTCGATTCGTTCTTGTAAATCAAAATATGTAATCACTTTTGTCAACATAAAAAGATTTGTTATCGAGAAACGGCAGATTAAATAAAATTTCCTCTTGTTCTCTCCATGGATAAAACGTCCAGCGTTATATAGGAAGAATCAGCCATCTAATCCTCTCGAGACTTTTGTGCTCTGACGTACCTTTTAAAGAACTCGATCGGACGACGTCGCAGGAAAAAAAAGAGAGAGAAAAGACAATCCGAAGCTATCGCACGGCCCGCGTAACGTCCTCGTCTCTTCGTTGTCAAAAAAAAGCCTGCATAGCAGCAGCAGCTGTGTTGGATGAGTAGAGCTGCCGTCGATTCTCGACAGACATATACACTGCAGCAGCGGTTTTATATAAGGTTCAGGGAGGGGTAAAAGAATGACGGATTTAGATGTCATCATCTCCGTACTGCGTATAATCGCGGAGAAGGAGAGAGAGGACGAGCTATGTATAAAAAATAATCGCGAGTTTATCCCTCCGCTGATGCGCGCGTGTGTTAATCCTCGGGGCTCTTTTTGCAGATCGTTGCAGCTGCGCCGAGATTGACGCACGCCCATTACGCTATCAAAGCCGTTATCCGGGTCCGCAAATCTCTTTGACTCTTTTTTTTCTCTTATTTATTTTTGTTTTTTATTTTTTTTTTTCATTTAATTGGGTGATTTTACTGTATCTATTTGTGCGAACGTATGTGAATCGACGAAAAAAAAAAAAAAAAACAAAAGGAAAAAAACTAGCGAAGCACATTGTGACTTTTTGTTTTCTTTTTTTTTCTCTCTCTCTCATGCATGTTTCGAGGCCGCAACTCGCATTTAAATACGCTCGCACTCGGTCGTCTTTTGTTCTTGCCTTGCGGTGGCAAAACCTATACGTGTGCAGCACACAAGCGTATACACGAAAAAAAAAAAAAAATATTTTGCCCGCGAGCGCCGCGACGACAACGCGATCGAGTGCAGCTCTATACGCGCGCGCGAGTCAATTGCATAAAATTGCGTGTAGGCGACGCGAAACACTATGGAAAATTTTTGTTGCGTCGTTCGCTCGTTCGGATCTCGTCTATATCGTCACGCGCGAAAATAGCTGCGACGAAAAATGTTTTGAAACGAACTCGGCCCCGCAGCACCGAGAGTCGAGATTTTTGTATTATATATACGTATATATGTATCTCTGCGTCGGCTGTCGCTTCGCCTGTCAAAAAAAAAAAAAAAAAAGAGAAGAAAAAAAGTCGGACAGGATTCGGAGTAAATGCGTCGCGCGCGCGGGCGCGTCCTCAGCTCCCGGAATAGCTCGGCCCTTTCATTAAAATATACAGCCAGCGGAGAAAATTGAATTTGACGTCTATAACGCAGGCGAATCACTCCACTAACGGTTTGAAAAAGAGGTAGAGAGACAGGAAAATTGGGTAAACGCGCGCGCGCGCGCCCGGGATCGTGATATTGAAAATGAAAAAAGCTCGGCTCGAGCTTTTTATACGCGCACACAAGCACGTCGACATTTACGACGAGTATTTGTCTCCAGCCAACGAAAATATTATATATTATAACACATACTTTTCCTCGCGCCTCTCGAAAGCACACCTACACACCACCTGTAAGAGAGTCGTTTTTCAAAAGATCGTGCACGGGGGCGCGAAGGTGAGTACGCTATACGAGCGAATATTATTATAGCATGGGTGGAAGGTATACGTATACACCTATTTTTCGCGCTACTTCGCCAGATGATGAAAAGTAGCGTATAATATACATACGAATCGCGAGGACTCATCGTTCATACACGTACACGCGTATAAGATATATAGAGGACACGCACCCACACATAAAACAGGCGCGCACGTGCCTCGCGGCTGCTGCTGCAGTGAATGCATAGCGGCGGCAAAACTTTTGTAATGAATGGTGCGTTTCGCGCGCGCGCGCGCCCGAGCCCGAGTTTCGGAGTGCAAAAGCTCTATGTATATAATACGAGAAAGAGAAAGACGGAGAAAGCTCGCACTCGCGCGTGTGTCCACGCGTCACATTGTAGGTATATATACGTACGCACATGATGCGAGTACAAAAACACCAACGGCTCTAATATCCGCTGCTCTCTTTCTCGCTGCCACTGAAACTCCGAACGCAAACTTGTTTAATTAATCGCCTTGTGCAGCTCGTCGTCGGCTATGTACGTATGTGTCCCCGGTTTAATTACTCACGCCGCGCCTCCCCTTCACACCCCTCTTCTGCCGAGCTTGTCCTAAAACGCCGCATAAAATGCGCTCTATAATCCTGCCCCGCGACTCCATATATAGACGACGAAGAAAGCTGTACGCGGAAAAGTTGCGTGTACGCGCGTAAGAGAACTAGCTCTCCTGGAT